CGTGCAGACGCCCTAACAGAGAGCTGCCTTCCCTGCCTGTTATGGCCTTCCAGTGGCTGTGTGTGGAGAGTTGGGGTCTCAGAAATATCATCATAGTGTCTCTGGGCCCCGTCTCTCAGGGGCCCACCTCTCGGTCTCCTCCAGGTGGACTCCCCTGGGCCCTGCAGTGGGAACCGGGCAGTTGTCACACTGAGGGAAGGAGGAGAGAGAAGCAGGGGCTCCCGGAGGTTCTGGGCCCGGGTGGATGCTCACCGCCACACCGGGCCAGGCTCTGCAGTTTGTCAGAGTTGCTGCAGGCTGGGGGCCAGCTGTTGGGGGCGGGGGAGTGGGGGAGGGAGGGAGAACACGGGGGCTGCCCCAGCCATGCCAAAGGGCCGGTGTATCTTTAACAGATGACCTCTGCTCTGTCACCATGAGGCTGCTCCCCCTCCGAAGAATAGACATCCCTTAGCTTCCCTGTGGCAACATGCAGCCCTTCAGAACACTTCCTGTACCGAGACCTCCGCTGTCCACTCGACCATGAGGACAGCCACCCCTGTGCCTGTCATCCTTTTGCTGCTTCAGACCGTTAGTGGGATGGGGACTCGGCCAGGTCAGAGGCGAGGCTGTGCTGGGACAGGTGGGGAGTTAGGTAACACGGCCCTCTGGAGGGGATCTCTGTGTGCCTTGCACAACCTGGCTCCAAACTATCATAGAATGTTCTGGAACCCTGAAGCAGGAGCCAAGCCACAGGCTGTGGTTTGCTTGGGACCAAAGAGCCCTGTGGGAGAGAGCTGGAGCCCAGCCCACCGCTGTCATTCAGATGTGCGTGGACCTGTCTGGTGGACGGGGAGGCCAGGCTGGAGGGAGTGAGGGGTAGCACCCCTAAGGAGCGTGGTGCTGGGAGAAGAAGTGTGGTATGGAGGCCAATGGGCAGAATCAGAGCTGGGGAGCAGGACCCTTTCCAGGGAGCTGGTGCTGGGAGGAGGAGACTGGCATAAAGAGCTAAACTGTATCAACAGGGGGCCCGACAAAAAGCACCCCGAGCCAATGGTCCCCATGCGGGACACTGGGTTACACTGACTATCAGATACACAGCTCGCCTCTGGTTCTGCTGTGGGAGCGTCTGCAATGTCCCCTGTGATGCCTCTCAGATAGATGGTACTCTTCTATTGCCCCCCTGAGCCTGGACAGAGCCTCAGAACCTGCCTGTGGGGATGGTGTTTCAAGGGCCACACGGGGCACAGGCGCTCTAAGATGAGCCTGTGCCTCTGAGGGAAGTCCATTTCTCTCCAGGGGCCCCTGGTGGGACCCATATTGTTCCAACCTCATCTTGGCAGAGTCTTCATGTCATTGGCAGGAGTTCCAGCCCGGGGCGGGGGGGTGGGAGATGTGTGCGGTGTGGGGCGAGGGGGGCTCTTGGTCTGTTTTACATGCTAGAGTTCCGCCGAAGACTCCACTTGCAAAGGGGTACAAAGGTTTGAACCCCTGCTCTATGCACATGGCTAGCTGGGCACACTCTTTTCCCACAAGAAAGACAAATAGGATGCCAAATTACAGCTCAGAGAATGTGCACTTCTTCTTCTTCTTCTTTTTTTTTTAAATAAACTCCACACCAATGTGGAGCTCGAACTCACGACCCAGAGATCAAGAACCACATGCTCTACTAACTGAGCCAGCCAGACGCCCCTAAAAATTTCCTTTTTAATTTAAATAAAGTTGACATATAATGTTGCATTAGTTTGAGGTGGAAATCAGAATTTGGGATAAACAATTTTTTAGTAAAAGTATGCCCCAAATATCACATGGGACAGACTTATACTTAAAAAATTATTTGTGGGGTGCCTGGCTGTCTCAGTCTGTGGAGCATGCAACTCTTGATCTCAGGGTGGTGAGTTTGAGCCCCACGTTGGGTGCAGAGATTACTTAAAAATAAAATCTTAAAAAAAATTGTTTACCTGAAATTTGAATTTCACGGGGCTTCCCGCATTTTTAATTGCTAAATCTGGCAACCTCATTCACAAGGTACATCTCCTGAGGCCACTCTGCTGGTCAGATGAATTCGATGACAGCCCCTGGGGGAGGATGCCCTGGTGTCAGGACCCAGTTAGTGTTCTGAAATGCCTTAGCAGATTATCACTCAGCAAGGCTGGGACTAGAAACACATGCAATCACTCTCGATGTTGGTGTTTGACTTTTTTTTTTTTAAGATTGTATTTTTGGGGTGCCTGGGTGGCTCAATCAGTTAAACATCTGACTCCTGGTTTTGGCTCAGGTCATGATCTCAGGGTCGTGGATCAAGCCCTGTGTCAGGCTCCCTGCTCATCGGAGAGTCTGCCTCTCCCTCTCCCTCTGCCTCTGCCCCCGCTCAAGCTCTGTCTCTCAAGTAAATAAAGAAAATCTTAAAAAAAGAGAAAGAATTGAATGTTATACTACCGGCACCCCAGAAGCCCCGCTTGGGCAGCCACTGCCTCCAACACATAGATTGGACTCAGAACCGCTCTTGTTTGGGGGCTTCTTTCATTCCCTGTTGCCTTGGTGAGGGTCCTCAGTGATGCCATGTGTCCTCACGGTCATTTGCTCTCACGGCTGGATGATCCTCCATTTTGTGTCTATTCCATAGTCCCTTACCGCTGATGGTCATTTGGGCTGTTTCCAGTCGGGGAACCTTCTAGCTCTATTGGTGTTTGAGTGGCGATTGCGGGTCCCAGGGCGTGAGCCCAGCTTTATTTTATTTTATTTTTTTTAAAGAGCCTGTCTATTTATTTATTTTTTTTTAAGATTTTATTTATTTATTTGACAGAGAGAGACAGCGAGAGCGGGAACAAAAGCAGGGGGAGTGGGAGAGGGAGAAGCAGGCTTCCTTCCCGCCGAGCAGGGAGCCCGATGCGGGACTCGATCCCAGGACCCCGGGATCATGACCTGAGCCGAAGGCAGACGCTTGACGACGGAGCCACCCAGGCGCCCATGAGTCCAGCTTTAGCAGGTACTTCGAAGTCTTCCAAAGGGGCAGCCGCAGGCCCTTGGGGTTATTTAAGTACCTCAGGGTAATGGCAGGTGTGGGAGGCTAGGCAGGGTACCGGGCGGGGGCGGGGGGAATGGGAGGAGGGTGTGAGTTGCTAAGGACCTCTTGCTTGTTTGGGTTGGTTTTTGCTACAGGTGAGCAGCTGGTACGCAGGAGGATTTGACTCTCACTTCTGGATCTGGGGATTTTCTCCAGAGCGCTCTGGAAAGAGTTATGCTTGGTTGCATCCATGGAGGAGGTAATTTATGAGGGCAGGATGTAGAGGGGCTTGTCTGGTGATCAGTGGCTTGCCTCTGTCTACACAGCAAGGTCCGAATACTGCCTGCCTCTCCAGTCTCCCTGGCTCTAGTAGACGGCACATCCTAAAAGCCAGATTTGGGCATCCCCTCCCAAGGCCGATGGGTCACTCACTGGCTCCCCCCTGCTTTGGTAGACCCTGACTTGAGGATACAGTCTGATGATCGGTAGAACTGTGAAGACGTGTCCCGGCCATTTGGAAAATCCACGGGGCCTAACATCCCTGGTGGGAACAGCGTGATGCTTGGAGACATACCTGCGGTTGCCTCTCCTGCCCCCCCTCCCCACAACTTGCTGGGAGGCTCTAAGCAGGTAATTCAGCCTCTCTGAGCCTCGGTGTCCTCTGTAAAATGGGGTTAATATTCACTGGGCTCTCATGTGGGTTAAAGGATATTCTTTCCTGAGGCTCAGCCCATAGCAAGGGCTACAAATGGTAGCGCTCTTTGGGCAGCAGGGGCTGGAAGGACTCTCCGAGCTGAGTGTGTCCGAGTCTCCGGAGCACAAAGGGTGTGAATGCCCGGCCCAGCCAGGCAAAACCGGAACAGGGATTAGAGCCGGACCCCTGAGGTTTAGCCCTGTGCTCTTCCCCAGATTCTGGGCCCTCAATCAATCACTTAATCCCCTGCGCATCCAGTGTGTCACACCGATGTTTGACCCTCAGCAGGCAGGGTCACAGCCTGCTGGCTTTGTCCTGCTGGCGTAACACGGAGGCGGGGCGGGGATTATAAATCTGGGAGAACATCACATGTTCCCCAGTGACACCTGCTGCAACAGCGACGCAGCCCAGAGTCCCAGACTTCCCTGGCTCCCGCGCCGGCAGGCGACCTCCAGGGTGAGTGGCTCTGCGGTGGGAACATTGGGCCCCTGCTCAGAGTCCTGGTAAGTGGGCCGCCCCCATCCCACCCTCCCACCCCTGGCTCCCGGCCTTTAGGAACAGGAGCTACTTCTGCTTGGGGCTTCTAGGCATAGGGAGAAAAAGCGGAGGAGGGAGGGCAAGGCAAATAGGGAAGAATCTGCAAGAGCATCATGGGAGATACAAAGTGCCATAGGGACATAGTCAGATGCCCTCCTGGCCCGCTCCTCCCTACCTCCTCAGACTCTCCTGATCCTCCCGATGCCCTCATGTGTGCGTGGTCCAGTCTGGGGCCATCTGAGTAAACGTGAAGGCTCCTTGAGGACCCACTTTGATTAAGGGTCTTTTTCTCCAGGGCCTACAGCTGAAGCTGCCTAAAAAGCTGGAGCCATAGCATCCTACACCCAAAGAACTGGCAAGTCCCCTCCTGGGCAGGTGAGACAGACCGACCCACCCCGCTCATCGTTGTGCTAGACGTGGTCAGTGGTCACCCCTCCCACCTTGGGCAGCAAGCAGTGTTGGGGTGCCTTGGGCTCCATGGGGCCCTGCCCAGCCCTCCCACTGCCTCCTGGGACTTAGATGTACCTGGAGGGCAGTGAGGCCAGGATCTGGAGGTTTGGAAGGGCTGCTCTGCGGGTACTTCTGGCTGAGAGGGAGAGACGGGGAGACGGCACCAACATTTACAGCCCCCAGAATCTGCACTGGGACTCGCCCAACCCCAGGTCCGCTTACAAAAGAGGCAAGGTGCACCGTCACCCTGGCCTGCCCCTATTGGAGTTGAGGACCATACCCCTGACCCTCACTCCTCTCCAATAGGTGCTGGAGGGCCCTTTTAGGTGACGAAGGCCACTTCTGAAGTTGAGGCAACCCAAGGAGGCACCAGCAGCCAAGATGTCCACACAGAGCACTCACGACCTGGAGCCCGAGGCCTTGGACCTGCAGCCTGGGATCCCAGAGGCCCCAAGCCACCAGCGGCGCCACACACTTCCTGCCAGTGAGTTCCGCTGCCTCACTCCGGAGGATGCTGCCAGCGTGTTTGAGATCGAGCGCGAAGGTAAGCGGGCCCCGCAGAGGGCCTGTGGGGAGGAGCCCCTGTCCTTGGTGGCTGGGTCCCCAGGGGATCAGATTGGAGGTGTATTTCTGTGTGTGCGCATGCATGCGTGTTCAGGAAAGCGGGGCTGGGAACAGCCCTGAATCCCATTTTCTTGTGGGCGAGGGCGGGGGGTGGGGGGCGGGAGACCCCACCTGGGCTTCTGAGCAGATGCTTGGTGTGCAGTGGCCAGTGGCATGCAGCGTGGTGACCACTGAGTCACCTGCTGCACCTCCTGCAGCCTTCATCTCTGTCTTGGGCATCTGCCCCTTGTATCTGGATGAGGTCAAGTACTTCCTGACCCTGTGTCCAGAGCTGTCCCTGGGCTGGTTCCAGGAGGGCCGCCTCGTGGCCTTCATCATCGGCTCGCTTTGGGACCAGGAGAGACTCACTCAGGTGAGGGCAGGATGGGGCTGGGATGCTCGGCCGCTGGACAGCCTCTGGAAGGGAGGCTGCCACCCCCAGGCCCTGGCTTCTCCTGCTCAGAGGGATGCAGAGGAGGCCAGGGGCTGGAGTTTCTTCCTCTGGTCCTCTCCCGGGTTAAAAGGACTCACCTCTTCGGGGCTCAAAGGCCTTCATGAAGGGTCCTCCATGGGGCGGAGGGTGGAGTTCCCAACTTGGGGCCCTCCATGGCTGGGAAGGGAGCCCCACCTGGAGGCACTCAGGAGACACTTGCCCTCGGCCGGGTGGGGGTAGTTTGGGAGGCAGGTATGGGCAGAGCTGGACCTGGACTCACAGCCCTGCTTGTTTCCAGGAGTCGCTGACGCTGCACCGGCCCGGGGGCCACACTGTCCACCTGCACGTGCTGGCAGTGCACCACGCTTGCCGGCGGCAGGGCAAGGGCTCCACGCTGATGTGGCGCTACCTGCACCACCTGGGCAGTCAGCCAGTGGTGCACCGGGCCGTGCTCATGTGTGAGGACAGACTGGTGCCCTTCTACCAGAGGTTCGGCTTCAGCCTTATGGGCCCATGCGCCATCACCCTGGGCTCGCTCACCTTCATGGAGCTCCAGTGCTCCACGCAAGGCAATGGCTCCCTGCGTCGGAACAGCGGCTGCTGACACCTGCCACCCCACGGTGCCCACAGCCACCCGGCCCCGGTGTCCCCTTCTCTCCCCAGCCCAGGCTGTATGCCAAACTGTGCTGGAGGTGGGGCTGGGTTGGTAACTGGGGACAGCAGGAGGTGTCCTGCGACCCGCCCCGGTGACTCCCTCATTTTCAGGAACCGATGGTGGACCCTCTGAGCAGGCAGCTTCCTCGACTCATGCGAGGTGCCTGGTGCTCAGGCCCTTATTCTCCCCAGCCTCAGGGATTTCCGTTCTCGTCCTCAGCCCCAGAATGGGGGGTACCTGGGAGCAGGGAAGTGCAGGGGCTACCTCCCAGCTCCCCCCATGTGCCCCCCACCCCTCGCCTCGGAAACCCTGGGTCCTGTTCCCTCTAATAAAATAGTTGTGCCGCATAACCTCCCAGGTGGCTTCTTGTGTGGGGTGAGGGTTGCGGGTGAGGCACAGTGAAGGGATGAGGTCTGTGCCTTCCCCCCTGCCGTCTCTGCCAGGAAAGCCAGCCCCTCACTGCCCCTGGGGTCCAAGGATTTGACCCAGCCCTCTCAAGGGACCCCCTGAGGCTTTCCATGGGACCCCAAACCTGGTTTCCGGTCCAACCAAATGCCCCACAAGTTTTCCACCGTCCCTTCGGGCCAAGGCCTTGCCCTTGAGCTCACGGCTGACCCCCGACCAACAAAAAAAAAGTCCCAGCTTTCACTCCGCCAGGTCAAAAAGTGATACTTTTAGAGAATATCATTTAATACATTTGAGACATCATCCATATAAAGTTAGCGTTACTTTTAAAAATTAGAACCATAATATAAACCAGTAAAAAATGGGCCTGACTGAGCCTTGGGCAACCCCTGGGAGCAGGTCCTTGAGGTGGCCCAGCCCCCACTCCCACTTGGGCAGGAGTGAGGCAGAGTGGGGTAGGGCCAGCCTTCTTAGAGCCAGTCCCACAAGGCAGAACACTGACTCAGAGGGAGGGCCGGGACAGACAGAAAGGGGAGAGGCTGTTTGCGGCCACCACGTGGAGGCTCTCGGCTTCCCAGCCTCGCTGTGTCTCCATGCTCTTTCTCTGCCCCAGGCCACAGCAAAGCCTTCCCCACACGTCTGGTCCAGGAGCATTAAGGGCAGGCTCACCAGGCCACCGCTGAATAAGGGGCACAGGCTCATAGGGCAGGGAGGGGAGGCCTCAGTGAGGCAGGGGTGGGAACCTGGTAGGAACCCTGGCCACGTCCCAGTAAGGGCACGGCCACAGTAATGGGGTGTGTGTGGGGGGGGGCATGCCCCAGCTGGGGCTGAGTGCGGAGATCGGCAAAGCCGAGGACCTTAGGAAGGAGAGAAGCCCACCCCTCGGCAGGGGTCCTGCCGGCAGGGGAGCGGCAGGAAGGCAGGGTCCGAGTCCCCACGCTGTGGAGAAGCACCTGCTCGGAGGGCCCCCCAGACTAAGGAAGGGGGGGGCCTCACTCCCCCAAGGACCTCGCCTTTGTGACTGTCACCGCGGGGTCAGTGTGGCTGGTGGAGGGAGGGCCGGGGCCCCCGGCAGCGGGTCTCTGGAGCGCGGGCTGGGGCGCTCTGCAGACAGGCAGCCCGTCCCAGGCCCACCTGGTGGGGGTCAGTGCAGCACCTGGTCCAGCTCGTACTTCTCGCAGAAGCGGCTGGTGAAGGGGAAGCAGGTGAGGTACTCGATCCAGGGCCAGTTGATGGGGTAGACGTAGAGCCAGATGACCAGAGAGGCGAAGAGGCCGGCGAAGACCAGCAGCGACACCAGGATGAGGGCCCGCTTGCAGTACTTGTCGCTGGTGCCGAAGGTGATGTAGGGTAGGAAGGCGAAGGCCAGCAGCAGGCCGCTGAGGAAGCCGAAGATGTGGGCGATGTTGTCGATCCAGGGCAGGAGGCCGCAGATGAACAGGAAGAGCACGATGGCTGACAGGTTCAGGAAGGCCTTCCAGGGCCGCTCCAGCAGCTGCCAGCTCTGGAAGAGCTCCACGAAGAGGCAGGCGAGGAGGCCAAACTGCGAACCCGCCGGGCCCACCTGGGGTGGGGAGGGGAGCGGCGTCAGCCCAGGGGGCCACGTGCGAAGCTGGGGTGCAGCCGGGTCCTCCTACGGGCAGGCTCTCCCAGGGGTGGGGACCCGGCAGCTGAGGCTCCCGGACCAAAGTGGGGCTTTTTGCACCTACCCTTTCTGCAAACCCTGAGGACCAACTACGGACCCAGTGTTTAGTCCGTGCAGTAAGCAGGACAGACAGGCCTACGCCAGGCAGCATACGGCAGGATGGACGGACACCGAACAAGCCAAGGGCATGGGGTCAAATCAATGGAAAAACTGTCACTGTTTCTGTGGGTCATGAATATCTGCACACTGGAGATCTCATGCAGCTCAACCCACAGCTATGTGACTTGCGGGCAGGCAGGCAAGGTTAATGGTCACGAAGAGAAATGAAGCAGAGAAGGGGAACAAAGTGAGGGACAGGGTCTGGGAAAGCCTTTCTGGAGGTGATGCCTGAGCATGACGCAGAGGCATCGCTGTTCCCTTGCTCCCAGGGATTAGGGGATCAGCCAATAAGCCCCCAGCTTAGCTGTCCATCTGGTGTCGTGCCTGGCCCCGGGCGAGGCCGTGTGTCCCTCTGGGGGCTCCGGGGGCAAGGGGGGAAGGGGCGGGAAGCCGCAGAGCTGGCCCTCCCTGCCCCATCCCCCAAGTCCCTACCTCCGCCCGGTACGGGAGGAAGATGGCGCTGGCAAGGTTGCCGGTGATGCCACTGAGGATGAAGATGATGGAGATGCGGTGCCAGCCAGCCAGCTTCTCCAGGTCCCGCAGGATGGTCATCTGGAAGACCACGGACACGAGGCAGTGCACCACGCTGGGGAGGGGGGCACAGCAGGCATCAGCCGTCCCGCATCTGCCCCCGGCTGCCAGCCAGGAGTGCTCCTCCACGGGCCCGGGGGCGGGGGGCAGGCAGCACAGGGGCGTGGGGGAGGGGGCGGGTGGCGAGGGGCCTTTTACCCTGCGTGGAGAAACAGAGACAGCCAGAGCCTGTAGAACTGATCTGGGACCTCGGGGTTGAGGAAGGGCAGCAGCCCACACACCTTGTCCAAGCAGTGCACCTGAGGGCAAGCACGGGGCAGTCAGTGCCTGCGACCCAGCTGGCCCTGATGTGGGGCGGGGGTGGGTGCAGAGCCAGACACCTGCTGCAAGAGGGGAGGCATGAGGCCGGCTCCAGCACGCTGCCGTGCTCACCTGCTCACCTGCTCACCCTCAGGGCCCCCGCAGGCCCTGCCTCACCTGGGAGCAGAGTGTTGCCTCTTCATGGAAATAGCCATGCATGAATTCACAGTACTCCCGGGTGGTGATCTCACAGCTGGGGGGACAGGGAGGCAAGGGGATACGTCACAGCCCCGAGTACCCCTGCCCACTGGCAGGAGGGGCGCCCCTCTGTGGGGACCCGAGCTCTGGGGCAGGCCCCCTTTCATCCTGCTCACACCACGGGCGACCCCAGAGTGGGGGAGGGAGGACACTAGCCCGTGTGGCAGGTGGCAACAGAGGAGCTGGCTTACCTGCCCTTGGTGCCGATGCAGCAGGGGCGGCCCTTGATCTGGCAATCCATGTGTAGGAAGCCGGTGCGGTTATTCTTGGCCTGCTCAGTGCAGATCTGCGGGGGGCGGCGGGGGGGCGGGGGGGACGACACGACACGCCCACGTTGGGTTGGGCCCCTGCAGTGGCAGGCTCTCTCGCCCTCTCCCTGCCCTGCCCTTCCTAGACCATTCTCCACCCCAGACACTCACTGGCCACTTGGTGATGTCATCAGGCCAGATGTGGGCACCACTTGAGGCTGGCTCCTCACAGGTTCTGGAGGCAGAGGTTAGAAGGGGCAAAATGAGGAGCTGTGCCCGCCCCCCAGCCTGCCACACCCACCCGCTAACGTCCCCAGGGGGAAGCACAGACAGGATGCTCAACCCCGTCTTCTCACAGCCCGGCTGGGCCACCCTGAGACTGTACCTGGGGTCTTGGTGGCACACTGCCCCTGATGTCCGCTTCTGACCCAGATCAGACTTGTCCATGGGGGGCCCCGTATCATCCTGCCACTTGACAAAAGTGGCCAAAGTCTCCTGGAGGATAGAGGAGGGCTGGCTGTGACTAGGATAATACCACCCCCGTTAGAGTTGGCAAGGGGCCCTCTGGACAGGGGCTCTTCCCCTGGGCTCCAGGGCTCAGGCTCATCTCCCAGACCTCCGCCCCTGGCTGACGTTCCCAAGACCTGGGAACGTCACTTGCTTCACTTCTCTGGGGCTGGGGAGGTTGGCACTCTCCCTGTACGGGGCCAGGAAGGAGGGAGGGAATGCGGTCACTGTCCTTGAGGGGCCCTCCCCTATGCTGGGGCAAGTGAAGATGGTGCACAGGACCAGAGTGGGGCTGGCAGGGGCTAGAGGGCCTGGCCCCACCGAGCAGTCCTTCCGCTGGGTCTGGATGCAGCCCGAGTGGTCATTTTGGACACAGCAGCCCGAGTCCCGCTCTAGGTCTCGCTCCCGAAGCACCAGCTGCTCGATCTGCTGGTCCTTCCGGATACAGGGGGAGAACTTGGCTCCCAGGTGGATCAAATCAATCTGGGGGAGGGGAAAGAATGAGCCTGGGTCCGGAGCTGGCCACTCTGTTGAGTTTCCCCTGAAGGTCCCCTGATAAGAGGGGCTCCTGGGCCAGCTGACCCCCTGCCCAGCTGGGGGAGACAGGGCCCCAGGGTTCCCTGCTGAGATGCTGTCCCATCCCCCTGGGCCCCTCACCGAGCTGGGGCCGATCCAGAAGTTCTCTTGCTGGATGTACTTCACGCTCTCATACACACCTTTGTTCCTCAGCACCTGGTGCAGGGGCAGAGGGTAGGGGGTTCAGGGGTTTCCCCATCCCAGGGTATGGCCCCAGAGTGGGGCTGAGAGGTAAAGCTACGGTGAGCCCAGAGCACCCTCCCGCATGGGCCAGGTTGTGGCCAAGGGAGGGACTCCGTGGCCGACGATGCTGATGCCTCTCAGGAGAGGCTGGGGCTCCCGGAGGGGAGCACCCCTTCCTTAGCCTGACTCACCAGCTGGGTGGTGATGTGCTGGGCAAAACCCACGGGTGCAATGCCATACGTGCAAATCACCAGCAGTGTGATGATGATGTGGACGAAGGTCAGCCAGTAGGTGAAGTAGGGCCTGAGGACAGAAGCACTGGGTCAGCAGAGCTGAACCCACATCCCAACCCTCACCTGCCGAGCCCAGCCCCCGTCAGCTCTTACTTGCTCTCTCCCCTCCGCCTCTATCCCCCTCTAACTCATCCTTCACCACAGTGACTTCGAAAATGCACCCTCACATCTCTCTCTCCCAGCTCCAACCCTTAGCTTCCTGCTCCCCTTGCAGTAAAGTCTAATGTCACCCCCTCCTGAGGGCCTTAATGCGCCCACCCACCTTCTCTTCTTACAGCTCCTAGAACAAACCATGATCCCTGCAGCCCCGGGGCCTTCGCACACGGCACTTCCTTTGCCAGAGACGCTCTTCACATCTCTCTCTGCCCGGCTAACTCCTGCTCAGGCTGGCTGCAGCCCTCCCCGCAGCCGTCCACTCACTCTGTCCTCCTGGGACACTTGCTACGCTTGTTATTCGCGTTTTGATTTTGGGTTTGATGTCGATCGGGTCGCCGCCCGGGGCACACTGTGACAACTGCCGCTCCCCAATCCTCTGGTTTCCCCCCACGGTCCCCTCACTCACAGAGCTTCTAACTGTCCAGCTGGCCCGCCCTGCCCTCCCTGTCCCTCCTGTTGGAGCTGTCCCAGGGCCTGTGTGCTGGTGCTCAATGAATGCTTGTTGACCGCCGTTGGGAGCTGGGCTAAGGGGACAGGCCAAGAGAGCCGGGAGGGTGAAGAGGCAGCAAGCACCGAGGACCCTTCCCAGGTGACACGTGCGCTCGTGGGGCTGTGTCCCACGGGGCCACCCTGAGGTCTTGTCCCCTCTCTCCTCTCCCATACGAGCTGCTCGCTAAACGCCTGCTGGATAAAGGGGGTGCTGCCGGAGAGGGTCCCGGGGGCTCTGGTTCTCGGCCCCTCCCCCCCCCGCCTGCAGCCGAGGGGCTCCCGGCGGCGCGGGAGGCTCACCGGTGGCTGTCGAAGCTCTCCAGCTGACGCTGCACCGTGCTGCTGATGCTGCGGCGGTAGCTGCGGTTCAGCCAGGTGCCCACCACGCCCAGGCCGTAGTGCCGCTTCTGCCGGTCGAAGGCGAAGTGCTTCACCTTGGAGGCGATGCGCTTGCCGCGCCGGGCCGCCGTGACCGGGGCGCGGCCGTACTCCTTCCTGGTGGGGGATGGCTCTCAGCCCGCTGCCCACGCCCCCCCCAACCTTCCCCACGCATCCCAGGACGGGGCTCTCGGGAGGGACTTGGCGGCCCGGTGAGCTCTTCCCCGCTGTGCCGCCTCCCTGCACCCGGAGGAAGGATGCCCAGAACTCACAGAGGGGTCTGCGTCCCATCGGGGGAGACCGGGGAGGCCGAGCGTGGGATCCCCCGGAAGTAGCTGGCCGAGAGTGGGGGAGACTCAAACACGTCATCGGGCATGGAGCTCATTTCTTCCTGGGGTGGGGTGGAGTGGGGGACACAGAAAAAGACAGTGTGAGGAGTCACTGTCCACACTGCTCCCAGCACCTCAATTCAAGGACAGAACAAAGCTAGACAGGCTCTCTGGGAGGGAAATGGAAGGCACGTGCCTGTCAGCCTTGACGGTGGCTTTCCCGGCTGGCACCCTGCCCTGCCAGGTCCCCAACAGGAAGACAGGCGCCCAGGAGTTCCACGAGGTGGCACGTCCCATCCCACCCTTTGGATCCCTCAGGGGCTCCTGGCAGAGCATGATTGGGCCGGGTCTCCTCTCCTAACTCCCAGGCCACCACCCCGTACCCACCCCGAACCCTGAGGCCCACACCCCATGCTTGCCTTACTAAAAAACGAGGAGTCAAATGTGTCTGCTCCGTCCACCACGTCCTCCTCCAGGAAGCTGGGGTAGGCGAAGCTACGTTTGACCACGCGGCACCGCTGTCCCGTGGCATCCAGCACCGAGCGCCCCTGGAGAGGGCAGGGCAGGGCCCAGGCATCAGGCCCAGTTCAGGTGCCTCTACCCCCGCCCCCTCCAAAGGAACTGTCAAGCCCCTCCTCCTGGGGCAGCACCTTGGGAGATAGGACCCTGCCCAGAGCACGGAGTGTCTGCAGAAAAAGGCCCGAAAGCTTCCGTAGCCCCGAACGCATGGCTCTCTCCAAGATTTTCGGTTATCCTCACCCGCTGACCTCCGGCCCTCTGGCTGGGGCAGCTAGCTCCCCCACACTTGTTCTGCACTCTTACTCCCCAAACTCGGGCCATTTCCCCCAGCTGCAGCTTCCTGGCACAGCACAGCAGGCCCTTGTCTGCCTCTTTCACCCCAATCTGCGGCTACTCTTCCTATAAGCACCCCTCACTAAAACCACATCGAACCATGTGCTCTTCCCCTGATGTGCCACGCCCCCTCTACCTCCAGGCCTTTGCATAGGCCCTTCCCTCTGCTGAGAATACTGTTCCTTGCCTTCCTTTCCTGGGGGAGCTTTTCCTTATTTTTCTGGGCTCAGCCCAAGTGCCTGTCCTGACATCAGCCCCTCTCCTACGCGGGCCCCAGCACTCATCACACTGAGTAGTGACATTGGCCTGCTCAGGGCTGGGAGCCCATCCAGAACAGTGACACTGATTCGTTTCACTCTGCAGTCCCCGGGCCCAACACAACACAGGGGCTGAGTGAGCTTGGGTGAAGGGTGGTGCCTGCATGTGTCCTACTTTCCCAGCTCGTGTCAGTGCAGAAACCGGCTTCCCAAACTATGGAGAACTGGGGCTGGAAGGACGTGGGCCGGGCTCCTGAGCGGCAGGGCCCCTCTCTCTGCCAGGTAACCCGGCGCATCCACCGCCCTTGGCACAGAAGGACATACCTGGGTGAGCTCTCGAGGGATGCTCTGCAGAGAGGGAGGGGGGGGACGGTGGGAGCTGGGCAGAGGCGGGGAGGCATCTTTACCTTGAGGAGGGCAGCGGCAGCCTGAAAGCTCATGTGGGCCACAGACATCCTCTTGCGGCGGGGCAGGTGGGAATAGACGGAGCGGACACTGGTGAAGGAGGTGAGGGACAGGACCCCTGGGGTCAGGGGTGGGTGTGGGGCATGGGGCCTGTCCACCTCATCCGGGTGGCGGAACGCCCGTCCGCGGGCCAGGGGATCCACAATCTGGAGGGAGGGAGGGAGGGAGGGAGTGAGCAGAGCCGACCAGGCCCAGGGCTAAGTCACCTGCCACTCCCCGCCCCTGCCCCGGGGGAGCCCACCTTGGGCATCTTGCAGGGTTTCGGAGACTCGGTACCCTGGAAGGACGGCGCCTCCTGGCTGGGGAGCTCCAGGTCGCGCTGGCATGAGGCCTTGAGCCGGCCGTAGCGCACGCTGCAGTGGTGCAAAGTCCTGCGCTGCCAGTGCTGTCGCTTCACCTCCCAGTCGCCGCTGACCCCGAACCACTGGGCCGTGCCCCTGCGGAGTGCACACAGAGCGGTGGCCGCGCGCCCATGACCATGGCGGCGGGGGCGGCAGGGCAGGGACTGTGCTCGTGCGGGGGTGACAGGGGGTGTGTGCAGGGGAGGGGACGCGGGAGGTGATGGGGGAGGTGTGTGCAGGGGAGGGGACGGGAGGTTACAGTGCCCGTGTGCACCCAGCACAAGGGGCAGATCAGCTCCCCCTTTGGCCCCCGGGTCGGCACCCAATGACCAGACAAGAGGGGTGGAACAGAGTCTGGGGCCGAAGCTGGGCTGGCCAGTGCCTCCCCTGCAGCCCCCGCTCCTTGACCTTGAACCCCCCAGCCTCCACACTGTGACCTTCTACAAGGCACACATGCCCCCTTGGGCCTCAAATTCTGCCCCCCCTCCCCCGCCCCGGAACACGCACGTTCCAGCCCTGCGGGGAGTGCTGCTCACGAAGGCCTGCCTACTCCTAGGAAGGGGACACAGGGCCAGGCCCAGCGAAGGTCCCCAGGGCTGTTGGGCGGGCGGGGGTGGGAAAGGTGCTCACTTGCGAATGCTCTGGGACAGGGAGGCCTGGCGGCGGAAGCCGAGGCGCTTCTCCGAGCTGCCCTCCTGCCACCGTCCCCGTGGCTCCTGGAGGCTGACGCTCTTCACATAGGCTGGGTTCCTGGGCCTCTGCGGGAGGCAGGGCGGGAGGACAGGCTGGGACTTGGTGGAGCCCAGATCCCGGGCTCACTCTTCTTTGGCTCCCTGCGCCAGAACCCTGAGAACACACCTCACCCCTAATGTACACGCCTGAGCTGCTTTCCTTCCGACTGTAAAGTCACCATCCTTCACGTGCTTCGGTGAACCCTACACAGTGATTTCCCAGCTCCCTACACAGTGCTCCCCCCTCCCCCCCCCCCCGCCGGCTCTCTGTACGCAAAACAGCCCCCGGGGTGAGTGGGTGGCACCAACACAGCACCCCTTTTATGCCCCAGGACACTCTCAATGAGCTCTTTATGGAGCGCTGGTCCAGCCTGTCTTCATTACCATTCTCCACGGGGGCCAGGCTGCTGATGCCCAGCACGTGGGGTCTCTTCCCCCAAGTCTGACAGCCCTTTGGGGGGCCCCGGGCGGGAAATGGAAACAGCCGGTCCTAGTGGAACCGGGGAGCCTTTCTCGAGGACCGTGCTTCTGGTCTCCCCGTCCACCGACCACTGCGAGACACGGCTCCTGCGCTCAGGGCCCACTCCCTGTGATGTCTGGGGCCGGGGGGGAGGGGGTGCAGGCCCAAGTGAGGGGTGACACAGGCAGTGGGGGCCTCCCCCACCTAAACGGTGTTGTGTGCACAGCTGTCGCTCCCCAGTGAGCCTCCAGGCTGCCCCCTTACCTGGGGCAGCATGCTGGTCTGCTCGCCAGGGGCTGGGGTCTCGGGTGGCGGGATGGTGATGGACAGGTTGGGCGGCTTCCGGCTCTGCAGGCGGCTGCTGGACACAGAGGAGACGCTCTCGCCATTCTTGTCAGAGGAGGCCATGGTGGGCCAGGGGCAGGGCGGCTGGAATGGAAACAGAGAGGGGGCACGAGTGTGTCGACAGGTGGCAAAGACAGGAAGGGACCTGGGGGCCCTGGTGCCAGGGCGGGCGGCCTGGGCTGAGAACAACCTGCAGAAAGTCGGTCAAGCCTAACGCTGGGGTCCAAACCACGCGGCAGAGACTGAGTCTGAACTGGGTGGGGTAAGGCAAGTAGGTCTATTTCTGTCCTTTGTTTGCAATCCAGGCCCACAGGGGCCTGGGGAATCCCCACCTTTCCATCTCCTTCCATTGGTGGTCTCTCAGATTCAGGCAAGGACCACACCAAGAGGAGCCCGAGGGCAAAGGACAGAGCTGCCGTGACCTTGGCTGCCTTATCAGCCTGGTCAAGGTAGGGTCAGAGGGCAGCTTCTTTGACCTTGGGGCAGGGCTTGGGGGAGGACAAGCGGCTCCAGGGTAACCCGGTGCCCTAGCCGCAAACAAGAGGCCCACAGTTGTGCAGGCAGCGGGTGGTTCTCCGAGTAGCCGTCCCTGGGTTTCTAGCGAGGAAGCGGTTGGTGGCTCAGCCTCATTACCAGACAGATGGGAAAGCCACCATGCTGGCTCCTGTCCCCTGGGCTGCCTGGTTCCTTTTTCAAAGGTAACTGAAACTGCCACCTGTTTGGTACTTTTTTCTTTTCATGGAGGAAAAATGTTAATCCCAATGATAAAAGTGGCATATGCTCATTGTAAAAACAAAACACAAAAAAGACTCCAATGATTATAAAGCAGAGAGTGAACTCAAAGTCTGCCTGTCACCCCGTCTTCCAGGAAAGAGCCCCTTTGCACCCGGAAAAGGATACACGTACTTAAAATTTTACACGCTCACACCATACCTTTTCATCCGTAGGGTGCACATCAATGCATACAGACAGATCCACCTTACCTTTTTTTTATTTTAAGTAGGCTCCACATCCAGCGTGGAGCCCAACGTGGGGCCTGAACTCATAACCCTGAGATCAAGACCTGAGCCAAGATCAAGAGTCAGATGCCCAACCAACTGAGCCGCCCAGGCACCCCTACCTTATCTTTCTTGATGACTGCAAAGATTTCCTTGAGTGGAATGCACCAAGATTTAATTAATGCCAGACTGATGGCTGTTCAGGTTGTTTTCAGGGACTCCTGTCCAGTGTTAACTGACACCCTTGCCTAGACCGTGTGCATGTCCCAGCGCTATCCCAAGACAAACTTCTAGAAGTTGAACTGCTGGGTTGAAGAGTAAGTACATCTTGAATTTCAGTGGATCCTGTGAAATGGCCCTGCCAAGAGGAGGTGGCGATTTACCCCCCTCCCCGCCCCCGCCCAAATCTGGGGCTTGTCCACACTTGCTCACCCCCTCCCCCGACTCCCACTTCCCCTCTGATTCCACCAGAATCAACACTCGGCCTGTTCTGTTCTCCTCCCTTCCTCACTCACTCACTCTGCTCTTTTTCTGGCTAAAATCCTCTCCCTACTTCCCAAAGCTGCTGGAGCGAGTTCGGCTTCTCTTCCCCTAGCATAAGGCCAGGGACTCCACATCTGTCTGCCGACATGGTGCTGACCCCGGGTGTGTGTAGACCCGTGGCGAGTCACACGGGAGCCCTCCAGGTAAGGGCGAGTGGGGCCAACGTGTGATGGAAGAGTGACACAGCAGGCACATGTGGCCCGAGGCCATCCGTCCCCTCCACCCCGGCCCCCCAGAGCCACCTCTCTCACCTGAGGGATCACAGCGGTCTCCTGGCCACTCCACCTGCTGCCCCTCGAGCCCCCACCCTCGTGACCATCTGTCACGCAGCAAAGACATCACCTTTTAAAAGCACCAATCGCTTTTCCGCCCTCTTGGAGTCTGTGGAGGCCTGCTGGGAACAGGACTCCTATAATGCCAAGTAATGTCTGGAAGGCTGTGGTCCAAGGCCATTTTTGCTGGCTATAAGCGGGGTCTCCGGAACCAGAGGGAGCACACAGCTCTTCTTAAAATCGAAGGTGTTTATGCTCGAGATGAAACGGAATTCTATCTAGGCAAGAGATGTGCTTATGTGTCCAAAGCAAAGAACAACACAGTGACTCCTGGTGGCAAACCAAACAAAACCAGAGTAATCTGGGGAAAAGTAACTCGTGCTCATGGAAACGGTGGCATGGTTCGTGCCAAATTCCGAAGCAACCTTCCTGCTAAAGCCATTGGCCACAGAATCCGTGTGATGCTGTACCCCTCAAGGATTTAAATTTAATGAAAAGTAAATAAAGGTGTAGATTTGTTCTCTCGTTAAAAAAAAAAAAAAAAAGCACCAATCGTACCACGTCACTCTCCACTCAACACTGTCCCAGGATTTCCCGTTCTCACTTAATGTCCACGCTTCTCACTGGGGCCTCTGGGCCCTGAGTGGATTTGTGTCCTCCTTGCCCCTGACTCGGCCACTCTAGGCCACTCACTGTCTGGTACCTGCTAAGCTCTGCCAGGAGGTGCTGAGGGGTCATAGTCAAAAGCACACTGCAGCCGGGTGGTCTGGCCTTGACCTGCACTTGACCACAAGTCACCCACATCCTCACCTTGTAACGGGGGAAAGACCTCCCCCAAGAGAGGTGCCCTGAGCATTAAATGAGAGCATGCATGATACACAGTCGGGCAGTGTGTGCACACAGAAACTTGGTCTAGAATGTTCACAGTAGCATGTTCATAAGAGCCAAAAGGTGGCAACAACCCAAAGGCCCATCGAGAGACCAACGGAGAAACAAATTGTGTTCCATCCACATGATGGGATTATGAGGCGGTCACAAACAGGAGTGAAACACTGACGTGGGGTCCAGCGTGGCTGAACCTTAAGGATGTTATGCGAAGCGAAAGAAGCCAGACACAAAAGACCACATGTTCTAGGAGTCCATTCCTACAGAAGTCTGCGACAGGCAGGGGGTTGGGGGGACAGCAGCTAAAGGGTGGGTCTCATTCTGAAGTGATGGAAACGTTCTGAAGCTGCCCATGGTGCTGGTTGCCCAGACCTGCGCATATACCAAAAACCACTGAATTGTACGCTTTAAATGGATGTAGTTTATGTGGATTAAATGTGAATTATAGCTCCATGAAGCTGTTAAAAAAGTCTCAGGCAGGTGCTCCATAAACATTAGGCCTCTGCCTGTGTTCGTCTCTCCATCCCCATATCAGATCATCACACAGTGGAGCAGGTAGCTCCTTCCTATCATTCTGGTTCCAGCTTGGGTGCCACCTCCTCCAAGGAGCCCTCCCTGACTGCCCGAAGCAGCTTCCCCGCTCCTGCTACAAGTCTCTCCATTGCTTCACCCTGGTCATCTTCCTCTCTCTGCCTTATTCACTGCTGCATCTCCACCTCCAGTGGAGTACTGGCCCACAGGTATAGTATCAGTACATACTGGATGAAAAACAAACAAGCAAGCAAAGCGGCTTGTGCCTTGGGTCCAGCCTGCCCGGCTACCCAGCGTCCTACCTTCAGAGTGTGGACTGAGCTCACTGCTTCCTGGGTCTCGTTGCAGAGGTCTTCAGAGCATGTCCTATTCCTTCCCTCACTCTATGCAGATGCTCTGGGGTCGGTCAAGCTTCAGCTCCGTGCAGAGGTGGACAGATGCCAAAATAGAGGCTTCTAGGCCAAACAGGGCCTCTCCCTTGGTGCGCACAGCCTATAGAGAAGGAAGGGCAGGCTCAAGCAGGCGTGTTCGGAACAATGCCCCTTTCAATCTTCCTGACCTCAGTCTCTGCATCTACAAAATGGGGATAATTCCACTGGCTTCATGGGTGAAGGATTAAGAGATCTGTTCTCCCCATCCGGAGTAAGGACCCCTTGTGACAGGCTGGGCACTCAGACTGCCAGGCAGCCAGGGGCTCTAGCCTCAGAGCATTTACCTAAAAAATCACCTGCAGACCCCCACTCTGGGCCGGGAACCCCAAATCAGGATGGTCTCTACCTTTTTTTTTCTGTGTTAACATAACTTCATGAGAAACATTTAACTTAAAAACAAAGTGTTGGCTGTCTTCTGATTAAGATTTCCTTTCGAATAGAGTAAGGCAGATATTTAAGGCAGCGTTCAAATGATTTACAAGTGTTTCTTTGTTGTTGTATTAGCTCTTTAAATAATTTATTGAGGTCAAATCCACACAACATAAAGGTAAGCATTTAAGAGTGAATAACCTTGGCATTCCTCGTTAGGAAGTCCTGCACAGAGGAACCCTGCAGCAGACCCTCCTCGAGCAGAACCCGGAAGGCTGCTGGGGGCAGGGCAGGTCACATCTTCAGGTGCACCAGGCCTGGCCCTTCACGTGCATTAACCTACTTTGTCCTCCAAACACCTTTCAGAGTAGACATCTACCATTGCTCCCATTTTGCGGATGGGAATGGAGGGAGGGGTTAAGGAACTCGCCCACGCTCACACAGCTCGGAAGGGGAGCAGATGGATCTCATCAGGAAACGGGAGCCACACCTTCCCCCACCCCACCAAAGCTAGGGGGCACACTGGGGGCTGGACAGCCCCCTATCAGGGTGACAGGGTAGAGTCCAGTCTGGAGGGAAACTTAGTTTTACTCAAGAGCACTTTGCAAACTCTGTTCCTCAGAGGCCTGGGGTTACCCAGAGGGGCCTGGGGGGCTGCTGTGGGGCAAACCAGAGGCTGGGGGTAGGTCTGTGCCCTCCCTCTGATTTCACAGGGGCGGCAAAGTCTTCCAGCCACAGGAGAGAGGAACTCCGGCTGTGGAGGGGGCACCCAAGGGGGCATCTGAGGCAGAGCTGGGGGCCCAGGACGCTTTCTGCTTCAGGGTTTGCCCAACAGACTCAGGCATCCTTCCTTCTATCCCAGAGTGCTGGGAGTCCTGACCTCACACCTCAGGGCAAACCGGCAGTAGGTGACAAGGCCCCTCAGAGATCACAGGCAGATGGGCCTGCCTCTACTCTGGGGGCAGCTCCAAGACAACAGCCTCCCCTGGGGCCCCTGGATGGAAAGTTCTCCAGTTTGGTCTCCTTTGGGATCAGGGTGCAGTGAGAGGGCACCAGGCAGGTGCTGTCCTGCACCAAGAAGGGAAGGAGGCAGGCGGTGGAGGAAGGCTGGGAGGGTAAAGCTGCCGAGTCCGAGCTTGGGTGAGGTCACCAAGCATGTAGGCTCCTTCTGGAACTCCAAGCTGATCACACTTTCCCACAGGAAGCACCCAGTGCCCTTCAGAACCTGACTCCACCCCCAGCAGACACACATGCCCTGCAGGTCCCCTGGCCCCCACTTCCTCATTGGAGGCCTTGCACCTGGCACACCAGCCTCCACCTCATCCGCCTGGGCAATGGCAGGTGAAATGTCACCTCCTCCAGGAAGTCTGCCCTGTCACCACCAGACAGAATCAACCACTTTCTCACCTGCCTCCTCTAGCATACTGCAGACACCTGCCTGTGTGTAGGGGTCCCCTACCCAAGCAGCACCAAGTCTGGAACAGTTAGCTCCCACTAATTGCTAACAGGATGGGAGGCGAGGGGGGCGCATATGCATGGTTGCAGACTGTCAGTCCACATGGACCCTGGACTAAAACTATCCCCCCCAATCCTACACTCAGCTCAGGAAGGGAGTGGCCCACTCTGGAAGGCTCCACGAAGTGCCCTCTGCCCTGCTGTGGCCCGAGGACGGCAGATGCAGTCCCAGGACGAGCCCCCACTGGACCTCCTGTTCCCCTCTCCCCACAGCACAGCCCGGGCCCCCTGGCCTGCCCTTCCATCCCAAAGCCATAGCACCCTGGCTGGGCCCCCCGGCCCAGAGCCCCCCATTGTGTTGCTGCCATCTGTGCCAACGTCCTGACACTGGGGAGACTGGGCCGGCCCCAGGGCACTTCTGGGGGCCACAAGGAGAAGTGGCTGGGCCCTGGAGAGCAGAGGCAGGGCTGGGGGCACACCTTCTTGGGGAGGAGCGTGGTATCCAAGAGAGCTATTTTCACCATCTTCGCGGGCAATGCTGAGTCCTGGCCTGTAGCTAGCTTTACCCCCTGGCCTCAGTTTCCTTCTCTGTTAAGCAAGGGAGTTGGACAAGGTGATGGCCCAGCTCTGACACCCACGAGGCCCACAGTTTAGCACAAAACACCACTTTCCCACAGCCCCTCTCCACCAAGGAGGGGAGAGCCTGCTCCTGAGACTGCCCCCAACTTGTGCAGAAATGGTGGGCAGGTGTACCAGAAGCCCAGTTCCTTCCTTGGGGTGGTGGGGGCAGAGGGCAGGGTTGGCAGTACGGGGGGGGCCACTGAACCCAAGTCTAGGGCATGGAGGAACCCAGATGGAAAAAAGTACTGGAGCTTTGGGAGCACCCCGCCCAACACATATCTCCCATGCCCTAGAAATGCTTGCTCATTGCAGAGGAAATTGTGACATCCTGGGACAAGGATTCCTCCTGGCCCACAGTCACATACACTGCTCTCTCTAAGACCCCAGGGCTGCTGCAGCACCCAGCCTGTGGGCTGGGGAGGGGTGGGGGGCTTGTGTGGAAGGTCTGAGAGGCTGCCCCACCCAGCAAGGCCAATGCCACCTGCCCACGGCCTCAGTGGGGACTTCCACCCCAGCCCAGAGAGGCTGGGCCTGGGTAAAGGAAGGGGACTTAGGGTGAGGTCCATCATGGGGTTTGGGTGGGGCAGATTCAAAGAAAAAGTGAAGTGCAGAGTTCAAATCATCCTACGGGTTGACATTTCTGTACCCCCACCTCCAGTGGTGTAACCTGGCTAACAGCAGCCTGGATCAGGCACATATGACACAAAGGCAGACTCAGAAAGCGCTCACTGATGCCGCCAGAGAATCTGGTTTCCCCACAAAGGGTGGGGCCGGGCACTGCCAGCTAAGCCCTATCCCGATAGACACAGCCACGGTAAGCAAGGCCTCGGCCAGAGAGGTCCCCCGACAGAGCTCTACCTGGGCGTGCCCAGGCAGGGTGGTGGGGGAGCACGCCTCCCCTCAAGCCTGCATGGGCCGGCTGTCCCCCTCCGCACCTGCCCCCAGGGGTCTGGCTCCAGTCCCTTCTCTCCCTCCCCACCTGCCGGCCACCAGTGCACACCAGCGGGCTTCTGAAGGCTTCCCTGGTCTTGCTAGTGGCGATGGGGTCTCCACAATCCCCAGGCTCTGAGGACCCTCATGAACCAGGGCAGGGAGTGAGCAGCAGGTGCAGCTCCAGATGGAAACAGGAGGCTACTGACATCAGGGCCAGAACTGGGAACAAAGGGAGGGAAGGGACCCTTGGACAAGGGGTAACAACCCTCCCCCCCAGCAGAGGAAAGAGGCAGACCGCTCCAACCACTAGATTCGATCCACGAGATTCGATGGGGAAATTAACGGGACCTCCCGGGGAGGGGGGTGGAGCGCACAGGTCCCCTGGACCGAGGAAATAAACTGCCCCCTGGCCCGGGCTTGGAGCTGTGGGTGAGTGGGCAGTGCGGAGGGAAGGAAGACGGCCCAGGGCTGCTGGGAACCTGTCTGTCCCCTGATGAATCACAGGATGACGGGGTGACAGCCAGGCGCAAGGAAGTGGCCTCTCTCCCCTGCTTCCCTGCCACAGAAACTGAAACTGGCTGGTCCCTCCCCACAGCCTTCTGGGAACCGGGGCGTTTTTAGAAAGCTGCAGAGAGGAAGCTGGCCCTCGCCCACTGTGCACACCCCAGCAAAGCCCCGAGTTCTGCTGACCTTGGGGAAGTTGCTCCAGCTTCCCTCGAGACCCGGAAGGGGCAGCTTATGTAAAGGCTGTCATCTAACCTGGTCTTCCGACAGGCAACAGCCATCCTGATGGCCCGTGACTCACCCCAACACCTCCCTGCTCTGCCAAAAGCGGGGCCGGAGCAAAGGGCAGGGAAGTGCCCCGCAGACACCGAGGGTCTGGGGACAGGACTTAGGAAGAGAAAATGCAGAGACAGAAAGGGAAGGGGACACAGTGTCCCCCCCGGAGGCTACGAACTCTAACTTGCTTGCTGGTCAGGGTCAGAGAAGCCAACAGGTCGCCCCGTCCCTCTCCTTCCCTCCCAGCGAGCGCCCACTTCCCCAGAGATGCAAGTCCACGGACACAGCCGCACTGCTGTGCTGGGAGGCTGCACTTCAGCCCAGCTAGCCCCCACGGAGAAGAAAACTGAAAGCACCTGTGGGTTTGCGCCCCTCCCGCAGGGAGAGCCCCTATTTCTCCACCCCCGACACCTTAAAAGGCTTTGCTCAAACTCAGTTCAGAAGATAAAGGATGGGGAGAGGGAAGCAGGTTCAGGGGCGTGATGACCCACTGGCTTTTCCCCACCAGACCCCAGGTTCTGGACTCCCTGTGACCCAGTTACGGTGGCTTGGGTGGCACACCGACCACAGACACGGGAAGTGGGTGCTGGGCTCCAGGCCCAGGGTAGGAGCATGTGGAATGGGGGGGGTGCCAGGTTCTTGGAGTGGTGCAGACCCCAACACCACTTTGTCCCACCCATCAGGCTTTCTTGGGACCACACACCAGTGGGGCAGGCAGAGACGTGAATGCCCCATCCTCTGAGGGGGCCCTGGGTCCGGGAAGCTGGCTGAGCTGGGATGCAGGGGCAGGCAGCACTAAATGCCACCAGATGTCCCCAGCTGGGCACAGTGCTGGATCCTGCCCTCCTAGGTGCCCTCCCCGAGGGCTCTCTGGAACTTTCTGGACTCCAGAAGCTGCCCGTA